TGGAAGACCCCCTCCCCTACCCTAACAGGCCCGGGACGACTCGGTTGGCAGGATGCAGGAATGGGCACGACTGTTTCAGGTGCCTTGGGGGCTTCCATTAGGCTATCGACGTTGCATCCCGGGATCAGCCAGTAGGAGACGGGTTGACGGGCTTTCGAAATTTTTGGGAACCGTTGAACTCTCGAAACATGATACCTTCCGGCCACGTTGAAGGGTCCAGCGCTTGGGATTTCAATCCAGGGTCCAAACCAATTTTGAAGGAAATAAACGTTAGGTTCGATACGTCTTTTCCTTTGGGCACTAGTTTGACTATGTCAGGATTTTCACTGAGATTCAGGTTTGCCTTCACCATCCCCAGAACTGACTCGTTTGCCACGTCAGGCCTGATTCGTGACAGGTAAAGCCAGAATTTCTTCGGCTCCGAGTACGTTGGGACGCATACGACATCCTGGCACGATGCTTTGGATCCAGACAAACAGTTGTCAACGATGCGAGGCTTCTCAACTTGCGGAATCGGCCTAGGCGCAGGCGGCGAAGCGGTACTGGTAGAATTAGACGCCAACTGCTTGATTTCGGTGCGCAACTCACTGATGGCCTGAGTGAGAGACACGAGCGGAGCAGTATCGATGGGTTTGATTGCAATAGATCGAAGGTGAGAATTTTCGAATAATTCCACGCATTTGTCGCACATCCAATAAAGGTTGCTTCGGTGTGTGGTGAAGTATCCCAATAGCGCACGAGACACTCCGGCGCAGCCCATGTGGAACGATCCACCGCAAAATCCGCGACAAGCAACCTGCTCAATGCCAACGATGGCAGAGTCACATTTCGAGCAGTTTTTCTCCATCTCGATGTTGATCACGTCTGAATGCGCCTAATGATGTACTCTTCGCTGTCCTTCGATGAAAGATAATTCGAACGCTGGTTGCAGGAGAACAGGCGCCACAACCAATGTCGACTAAAGCGGCAAAATCAGTGACGTGGGTGGTCGATGAGTTACGTCAATAAATTTTGGATCACAACAGCGTGAAACAAAACCACACGAATTCACACGGGACAACTAGTGTTTGCACTGAAATTCACGTTGCTCTTGATGTTTATGGAGAACTCAAGCCAGCAAACGTTAAGACAAGAAAAAAGTCACAAAATATACACGAGAAAAGCAATAAAATTGAAACAGCTAGTAAACAAACTTAACCGTAAATCAAGTGCGAGTGTATTGTAACTGTTTGTTCAATAAACAAGAATCCCAAAGAGTTAGGCGCATTACTATTCATTTTCCTTGAAAAAAAATTAATTGAAAAACAGGCCAAAAAAAGGCAAAAGATTGGGAATACCCCCTTAATACACCTAAAATTTATCACTAGATGTGTGAAAATTTTTCAATTTTTGCATTTTGATATAAAATTAAAAAAATGTTTGAAGTGGTATTATGATATCATGGATGAAGATTATAACCTAAGTATTTAAGTATTATGATAGTTCTATATGATAGGAATTTTATGGTATGTATCAGCGGAAAATATAGGAAAGACGTAATTTATGGGAGACCCTTTTCATTGCTGACTTCGAGTGGGGCAAGTGTACGAATGGCTTCGAATGGTGATCAAATTGTGTCGTTTTAAAAAATGCTGATAGAACCTGTTTTTAATCTTTTATAAGTACACTGTAGTGCAATAATATTACCATATATATATATTACCCTTAGATTTTTTGGCAAATTTTCTCACACGCACGTCTCTTGCCGATGATATGTGTTAACCTCTCAGTATCTTCTAACTGTCGCATATAACAAATTACCAAATATATTAAAAACATCAGATTTCTACGATTTTGTGCGAATTTCTACAGCTAAAAAACTTTCAACTGACAACACTTCGACCAGGAAGACCGATGAGTGCATACAAATACTATGTGCGTAAAGATGAAGTACTCAGATCCAATTTTGATTTTTATTGATTTAGAAAGCAGTCATTAAATTAAAATAAACGATTGTGAACCATTCAATAAAATGTGCAATCTGTGTTCCTTTTACTTAATCAATATTTTGAGAAAATATAATGAGTTTTCGAACAGCTATCCATCAGGGATTGTTGCCAAATAGTCATGGAATCGACTCACGCTTATAAACTAAAATCAGTGCTCGAAACAACTCATTCATCCTGACGAGAAGAAGAATCAGCTGTTTCAAGGAACGACGAATTTCTTCCAGAGCGTGGTTCAAAGGTCTAGATGTAACTCGGAGATTAATTTGCGTGATGTCAAGACTTATGTTCAACCACAACTCGCTAGACGCACATTTCTCCAGAATAAACCTCGTTGACAGCAATATATGTAGGTGCAGAACCGGTTATGATGACATCGATTACGCAGTTTGGTATTGCCCGGGTCAGGCCATTATCCAATCCGCTCCACCGAACACCACCGTTGCCTGGATACCTGGCCACTGGGGCATCCAGGGTAACGTTGAAGCCGACCACCTCGCCTCTTCTGGTCGACTAATGAACAAACTGACAAGCGAAGTTCCAGGTCCAGACTTAATAAATTGGCTGTTAAAAATTACATGGGAGAACCGGAGCAAGGACTGGTTAGGCAGAAGAGGTCTTTTTAGCCGTAAGATAAAAGGAGAGACGCACCGATGGGAAAACCTACCTGACCACCGTTCTCAAGTGGTGTTGTCTAGGCTGAGGTCAGGACACACTCGAATTTTGCACAACATTACTGGGAATGGCGAATTCCATAGACGTTGCCCAATATGCCAGATCCATCAATCGGTGGAGCACATGATATGCCACTGCCAACAATACCAAGGCGCCAGAGATCTATACGGTATCTCTTGCAACATAAAAAATGCCCTCAGCAAGGACCCCAGTCGTTCCGCTGCGCTACTGGTCTTTCACCGCGAGACAGGCCTGTACAATAGAGTGATGCAAAATTTGAAATTTTCGCTTCACAATACTTAAACGATTCCAAACCGGATCCTGACTAACTTCTCAAAATTTGAACCCATTTGGTGAGAAACTGTAGTTTGTATGGGAATTACTATGGTAAAACCAAGATTTTTGTTCATGTCTATCTAATAATTCACGATATCGGTCTGCTTCAAAAGCTTCGTACTTGTAGGAAAGCTACAACTTTGCTGAAGACCACGTTTTGATTAAATGCAAGGATCAAAAGTTATCAATGGTTCAATGCACTGATGTCTTATGATCAGCGAATCCAAACACATAAAGCAACCAACGATACAGACAAAACGGTTGCTACGACTACCATGACAAACTCGCTCTGTAACATAGCTCGATCCGAGTGGTAGAAGGATAATGATATATTGCTTGCCTGCTTTGTTGCAATATACACGGATGAGGACATAGCTTGATATGAATCGAGAAAAGACATAACAAAAAAAAATCCCATTAACACACGTGTATCATCTTCGGCTTTACTTCGTGAAGCAGCTTGCCAACAATTTGCTCGTTTCCTTCTACCGCCCCGAGTGAGTTGTGTTGCACGGGCTGCTTGTCATGAAAAAGAAGGAAGAAGATTATATCATTATTGCTTTGCACTTCTGACATAGCGTTATTATTCGGTTCGTTGATCGCTTGTCATTTTGTCATTCGGAGATATTTTTGATTCCTTGCTTATGATCATGCTCAATCAACTGCTCAGCAGGCAACATTGGTATTTCTGGGGCGTTGAATAGGACACAAAAATCATGGCTACTATGTCACACTGCAAAATACAGTGTTGCCTACAGAGCAGCTGCTTGATCATGTCATAAGTTTACCAATCTCTTAAATAATTAATAACCTTTTCCTGTCTCGTTTTACATAGGACCGATCTAGAGCAAAGTTGTAGCTGAAAATTTTTTCTATAAGAATGGCTATAGAACTGTTTCGCAGCTCAATATGAAAAAAAGACTAGAAGGCAATGAACAAAAAGTTGAGATTTCCCATAGTAATTTACATGTAAACTTCAAATGGCTTGTGCGAAGCCTGTTTCTAACCAAATGAGTTGTAATTTTGGGAGGCTAATCAGGACCCGATTTGAAACCATTTAAGCACTGTGGAGCGAAAAAGTCAAATTTTGCATCAGTCTACTGTACAACCAGATATAACTCCACCCGATAGAGTCATCACCGCCTACAGCATACCGCGGAAAGAAACAACCACCGCTATCACACCATCAGGAACACCTTCAATAACCACGACCATAGATTCGAACTTGAACTCTCCCCTGTCAACCACCCTAGGAAACCCCCACCAGCATGAAACAGCATGAAAAGACAGCATTACTTTAGTTTTCTATTTTAAGAAACTCCTCTCAGGAGCCCTCGCTTTCTTTTTAGAAGTGTCCCCTATGGGCACTCCTCAATTTTTCAACTTTGTGACTTTCAACTTTGTGAAGCAGCGTTCGACTGAAAGTCTCCTTAATAAACATAACTAACTAACGGGTAATGACGCCTCCAGAGCACGACTATTGGATACCCTAGTGGCCCGAGGTAGACAACCCTTCCGTGAAGTAAGATATGTATTGGGAACCCGTGATCTTCCCTACATGCAGGACGTTAGTTTGTCTGATGATAGAGTTTGATGTGTCCATCCCCTCCTTTCCAAACAAACTTCCAGCTATTGTGTCCCAGTCTTATTATCCCCCTGTTATTGTGCTACTTGCCCCTGCCCAGCTAGGATTTGGTCAACCGTCCGAGAGTAGTATCTGAAGGAGGCTTCAGAAACCAGTCTCCTACCTAGCTCCTTCCAATCGAAATTGTTACCCATTAACCTCGAGCCCGCCACGAGTAATTGGTACGCAATACTAACCGTGATTTACTGCTGTTTAAAATTTTAATTAAAAAATTACGGATTTTTAGCTCCGCAAAGTGTCACACAGGAAAAAATCCAACAGATGGCAGATCGTCAACCTCACCAAACGGTAAAATCTCAAGATCGGTAAATTGGATATAATTTTTTATTCAATTCAACAGTCACATATACTTGCTCTAACAATCTGACTTGGGTGGCCTTAGTAAGCGTAATGGCCGTGATGGTTGTTGTATCCGAGGACATGAGCTCCGGCAGCAGCCGGGGCATAGTTGTACCCATGGTTAGCCAGGACTGGAGCAGCAACGGCATGAGTGGCAAAGGCGTTTTGGTGATAGAGTTGAGGCTGGGCAACGGCTGCAGCCTGGGCATAGTTATATCCATGGGAAGCCAGGACTGGAGCACCAACGGCATGAGTGGCGTAGGTGTTTTGGTGGTAGAGCTGAGGCTGGGCTACGGCAGCAACCGGGGCATAGTTGTAGCCATGGGAAGCCTGGACTGGAGCAGCAACGGCATAGGTCTTTTGGTGGTAGTGCTGAGGCTGGGCTACGGCGATGGTCTTGGCAGCCAGTGGGGCAGCATAAGCGGAATATCCATAGTTGTCGTGGGACACGGCTGGAGCGTAGCTGTGTCCATAGGAGAGAGCTGGAGCGGCATAGGCTTGGGTGGCATATGCGTGGCTAGGGGCAGCCAGGACTGGAGTAGCGTGGGCGTATCCATGATGAGCTGGAGCGGTGTTTTGATGGCGGGTGAACGAGCTGTAGCTCACGGCTGGAGCAGAAGAGTAGTGAGCAGCCACAGGGGCAGCGTAGGTGTGTTCCGTTCCAGCATAACCGGCGCTGGCATAAGCCAAGGAAGCAATCAGGACTGCGAGCTAAGAAAAAAAATATAGTTAATTAATAGAATTGAACTCCAAGAGATTCTAGGATTATTTACCTTGAACATTTTGATTAAACCTTTTGAGATGGACACTGAAAGACGTTCACTGAAGCAATGATACAGTTTTGCGGTTTTGTCATAATATTTATAGAGAAAAAATCAACCAGTCGATCACCGAAATATAAATCAATAGGAACGCCCCGAAGACGTAATAAATAAGCTAAATTTTTCATCGGTGTGGCCTTCACATTTTGATTCAGTTTCACATACGCACAGTGACACCTGTTCTGTTACCATTAACCATCTTTACCCTCCGCACACAAGAGTCAACCGAAAAAGCAATATTGATTCCATTTTGTGTGCGTTATTAGCCGAAGTAAAAATTGGCTTTAGTATTTCAGACAGTGATTGGGTCAGTTCTTCTTCAATTGTTTGATTGCAGTCGGTACCGTCATGATGGGTTAAACGTGCGTTCAATGAACTTGAAGCATGTATATGAACTGAGAGTTACTTAAACTATTTGTTTTGAAGAATGCTTCATGTGAGATTGAAATGCAGCACCTCGAATAAAAACCTAATTGAGAGGGTTTTCCATAAAGTAGAGGATATGCATATGTTTTTATGCAACATAAAATGTCACCACCATAGTGGTATAATTAACTAAGAGCACCCATTACATCGAAAGCCATTCAAAGAAAGGAGAAAAAATCCTGCAGCCCATGTCGCAGTATACTTACGATAATGTGTGAAGGTCACTGTAATTACTTGGCGTAACAATTAGCTTCCATTTTCAGTTGGGGATCCATAAGAATGGACTCATGTCTTTCATGCACCCTCATCTCAAGTGGACTATCAACTTGCACGTTTTTCGAGCTCCATTTTCAAACCTGGCACCACGGTAGACGACACCATCAGTTTAAAGAAATTCACCGCATCATGTGCCTTTTGATCTGCTTTCCTCTTATTGGTACCGTAGTGCGGGGACAAATTGATCATTTAATAATATAAATATAGATATAAATTTTTACGTTAAGAGTAATCAACGAACTAGTAGTATTAAAATCAGTAGCTTAGAGATCTCTATCGTTCTGCATGATTACTTATCATACTGAGCGATTAGTTTCTATTGAGAAAATTTTAAAAATCTCCAATTTGAAATATTGATATGGGGTGAATTTGGTCTGTTAGAGCGAGACATGCATTTTAATATCGACATTTTAATTTGCATGGGCATCCCTAATTAAGATTAGATACGAGAGAGAACCTCTTCCGCTGGGCCGTTCTTGCTCCTTATGGCTTGCGTGGGTTTACTTCGGTTCTCGTGAAAAGGACCTAGCAAATTATTTACAAAAGTTGATAGGCCCTTTTCAAATGTTTCGCGAGCATTATTCGTGTGTTCATTTTTAGTAAACAGGGCCCCGCTGTTGTGTTCAGTAGATGAACTAAAGTTCATCCGTGCACAGGTCTATCAACCGGTGGAAACTAACGATTTTAAATTGATTCACTACTTGAATAGCCTATTGGTCCCAAGCAAATCGATTAACGTACCCTATTCTAGTCGAAATTCTAGTACTTCACTATGTTTGTTTTGATTCGGTATGAAAGTTTGACAGATAAAATGAGGGGTTCGTGGATTTTCCTATGTTTCGAGGGGTGTGTCGATTAGCTTGGGACGGAAGATAGTACCAGAGCTGAGCCAAAAAGTAGAGCCTATTTCTTTGGGACCTTCTGGTCTTAGAGCTACCTCTATGGGTCTATTGAGTCAGCTGTGTGGCCATTGACCAATGCACGGAATGAACTGCATGAACAAATTTGACGTTTGAGCGGAGCCGTGTTTACTAAAAATGAACACATGAATAAAACTCGCGTAACATTTAAAAATGGTCTATCAACTTATGTACACAAAACTTGCTAGATATTTCTCGCGCGAACCGAAGTACGCCCATGCAAACCAACAACACCAATGGGTAGGGTGAATTCTCTCCTTTCCGATAGTGGTTTGGTTTGCGTGGGTGTTCTTCGGTTCGTGAGAAAAGGGCCTAACAAGTTGTTTTTTTTTTTTCCTTTGGTTTGTTTACCGTCGATCTTGTTTTCCGTGCTGAGCACCAATGCTACCGACGCGCCAGGAAGGCAGCTCCCACACCTGGACCCTACCTATCGACCCATCAACTCATGAACCGGGGACCAACGGCTTTACTTCCCTTCCGAAGGAAGGCGTGATCAGAGATGTTATGCCTCAGAACATCCCGGCGGCGCCGACTGGGATTGAACCCAGGCCTGCTGGGGTGAGAAGTAATCACGCTTACCACTACACCACCGGCGCCTTTAACAAGTTGTTTATAAAAGTTGATAGGACCTTTTCTAAAGTTACGCAAGCATTACATCATGCGTTCATTTTTAGTAAACACGGCACCGCTCAAAAGCTATTTTTTTTCGTGAGTTCATTCCGTGCATTGGTCAATAGATAGTATAAAAATATCAGTGACAATAAACCGTCGGGGAAGACACTTCGTTCGTTCCGTCCTTTATCGTAATAAATGTATTTTAGCGTTCACGTAATAAAAGGTGTTTTGTTTGTAAGTGCGCGAAAGTGCGTGGCCGGATCCAGCCGGGAATACACCATGTATGCGAGAATCGTACTCCATGCAGTAGTTTCTTCACCGATCTTCTTTAACATTTGCAAGTTCTTCTCGTAAACGCTGATGAGATTGATCAGTCCGTCGTAACTTTATCACTTCAAGCCTTCCACGACAAAAAGGGAATACAGATGTGCCTTCACAATCAGCTTCTTGTTCTCGTAACGGGACGCAAGCGCCTTCCACGGTACGCTGTTATTCACCGCCGAAAGCTCAACCGACTCGATCTCCTGCAGGGCCTCTCGTGACAGGACTAACTTCAGATAGCTGAACCTGTCCATATCGATTAGCTGCTTGTTTTAATGGATCAGACAGCCACTCCTTAATCCTCCCACCGAACGACGGAAGGCGAATTTATGGAAGTTTCACCTTCGAGAATGATGCTTCAGATCGGTCACCAAGTTGACCATTTCCGATAGACATCCATGTAGATGATAGTGGGGTCTACTTTGACAACAAACTGGTCTTCATGGATTTGGCCTAGCAGATTTTCCTTCTGCTGCGTTTCCTCGTCAGCATCAGCATCATCAACATCATCCAGCAACAGCTCAATTCGTTCCCGAACCTCGTAGAACTCCTTGCTGACTGACGCTAGAGTTTCCAGTCGTACACTTGGCACTCGTCTCTAGCAGGATCATATTTCGTCGCGAAATTCTCCATTCTAGCCAATTCCTCCCCTTGGCTAGTTTTTGCACCTTGCTGTTGGTGGGCGGGCTTAATTTCTAATGCTTTATAGTGGAGTGTTGGAGACGGTAGGTTTATGGTCGGCGTTGCTGGCTCATGCCGCGATAGAATGGCGTCATGGGCAGCCAATGGGGATTAATAAGCTTCCCCTCTCTGATAAACCACTGCATGAGAGAGCCAAAGATCTAGTCTAGCAGTGATAGTATCACACTTGTTACTCCTTTAATTGAGAGCCGCGTCGTAGTACGCTTACGTATAGGCACTGACGTTGGGTGTGATACTGGCGGGTTTTGCCGCAAATCACTCTTATTTTATTTATTTTTACGCAGATAGATTTATGTGGGTTTGCAAGGGAATTATACTATTGAAATATTTCAGAAAGTGCCCAACGGTGCTCCTTCTATTTGCGTGACAAGCTTTCATTGTTGTTTTCATTGAAGTATTACTCTATTTGCGTGACAAGCTTTCATTGTTGTTTTCATTGAAGTATTACTCAGGAAACATCATTTTTGTACATGGTATTGTAACTAATCTTATATGTGCTTCATTTTGATTTGGGATAAGTGTTTGAACTATTGCTCGGGATTTCCACTGTAGCGTGCTTCTATTGTGACATACCCATACGTATTTTTGTGGTGCGACATAGTGGAAGCGTGTGAGCGTAATTGGAACATATACCCTATATAATTTAAAAATCAGCTAGGAAACTAACTTCAAAATGAAGCATTTTAGTCACATGAATAGTATAAAATGCTAGTCACATAAATAGTATGTTACCTGGGTCGAACTAAGATATAATAAATAGGTATAGGCTTAAATCAAAAATACTTGAAACACGTTTAATTTTAGATTACAAGCACAAGTGCAGGTACTTAATAAAGCATGGTTTATGATTGATTAGGTGAATTAGAGCTTTTAATAATTTATTAAATTAGACTAATGAGATATCATAATCATCAAATGAACTTAAATAAGAAACTTCAGAAAGTCTAATGACATTAAGTAGATTAATAAAAAAATTAGGATGCGGGGGGTCCGCTTAGGGAGGCAACTAACCTTTAAAGTTGTAGAATAAATCTTCTTATTTAGTCTTGAACTTTAAAAAAAACGCAGGCAGCATTAAGCAGATTAACAAGGAGAGGAATAGTTTAGGAAATAAGTAAACAAGTGGACATCACAGGGCTATGTACCAAAAGGTAAAAAAGGACTCGCATGCACTATCAATCAAATATTATTAATTAATTGCCACGGGCGCGAAGAGATCAAACCCCCAAATTTCTTTCGAGTTTATTTCTAGTAACCGTTCTTATTACATTAGGGTTCCAAATCAGATGCTGACATCCTTGTGATATTTCCTGCAGAAATTTCAAAAAATTATTCTAGAATGAAAAATACCACTTTCAAGTTAATGACAACAATCGCAAATGCAACCATATGATCGATTTTTGAGATTGAATGTTATTGAACGTCACCTAAATAAAATATAAATTTATGCATAAAGTCAACTGAGAAAAACAATCATCGGAGTTTCATTATGCGCTGCTATAAAGATTTGTCTTAATATCTGTCACCGAAAATTGTCTTTGTGGCAACTAAAAACGCAACCCTCAATGATCTATTTCACCTCGGTGATCAATTTGCCCCCAGATTACGGTAGTACAAAATAGTGAGGTAACGACCCTCGATGGGATTATAATGATTCGCACAATCATGCTCCCAACAGAGCATGGACACCACAATTGTAGT